AAAAATGAATTTATGTACGACGTTTGACCAGTGAAAGGTACGGGAGGTTTGATACGGATGGAATTTGTTTGTTGGGTTACGGATTTATGTTGATAATTTTCGGCTATATATGCATGGATCTCTGCACCTAGATCGGCTACATGTTGTTGACAGTTGCTGATAATAGTTGCAGTGTTGGATTCAATGGCATGGAGTCGTCGAGCAAGATTGTTAATTATGTCATTTGCGGACATGTTTTGGGTTTCTAATTTTGGTAATTCAGTTTCTTCAATAATGGAGACCCGATGTAGGAGTTGCTTGAGTGTTTCGATTTGCTCTTCGGTCAATTCAGGCATAGTGGCAAATCTTTATTGGAGACGAGGTTAAACAAGAAACAGGGAACAGGGAACACGGCAAAGAAACGAGGTAAAAGGTAAAGAGGACCAAGTAGTTAGGTTTTTGATTCTGGATAATGTCAGAAACAGAACAAGAACAGAAAGAAGACTACTTGGTGACACGAGAGTCAGAGTGAAAATGATAAATAAAGAAGTTTATTTCAGAGAAGGGGGAGGGGTTAGGACTAAGATCCAGAATAACGTTTTTCTAATAAATAACTAGCATCTATTTATACTATTTCTTATACATGGGAAAAGCTACGATGGGTTTAAATTATAGATTAACAAGGGACTTTACGGAACAGATATCATGAGCAGATTATTTGACAAGGATGAGTAATTGAGATTCGACGAGTAATAGCAGGCTGGATTTAGTTGACATTGAATAATTAGATGGTTCGGGGAATATCTCTGATTTGACACGGGCGGGAAAACTGGATTGGGATATGAAGTAATAGATGATCGGAAAAAGGTTTACTAAGGTTGAGTCAGACAAGAGGCGGGAAATATATTGGAATACAGATTGGTGGTAGGTTTTACAAGGAATTCAGAAAGCGGGCAAGATATACGGATATGATTTTGGGTACAAGGTTTACAGGGAGTTTGGTAGCGGACAAGGTATACTGATATTAGATTTTAGGACAAGGTTTCACAAGGGTTTAAAATCAAGGCATGATCTAGGACATGATGAAATGAGTTCATGACAAAAGGCATCAATAACGTATTTCTCTACCACTATAACTTTTTTTTATACAATTATGTCAAACCATACAAAAAGATTTCATAACCTTGTGGAACTAAATGCCGAAATTCGAGATCAAGCCTTGAGCTGTAATGTTTGTGAATACAGTACTGATAGACGGAGCAATCATACAAGACATCTCAGCTCTGAATCACACCGGTTAAACGTAGCGAATGCAATCCTCTCGTAAGTAATATATAAGAGGGTTATTGGAAAATTTACTCACAAACATTAGAAATGCAAACAACCCTAACGAGGTTCAAAATGAAGCAATTAATACTGATCCATCTCCTGAGGTTCAAGAGGAGGCATATAACTCCATGAATATTGATTCACCTTCTGGAAGGTAATTTTTTTATTGAAAACTTAACCAATGTATATACTTAACTTTCAAACTATTAGTCCAATGATGACAGACATTGATGTTGAACCTGAGCCTGAACCAGACATAACTCTCGAGGAAGCTTTCGGAAGCTCCCATGGTTTTGAGGAGGATGACAGTGAAATCGGACGTGACTTTGACCCCTTTGAAAACATTTTAAATGATGAAGTACAGTTGGATGGTGGTCCTGGTGTTAGTGAATCTATCAACCCCAATACCAATGATGATGAACCTCAAGTACCTGATGATGTTAATCGCAACCCTTACTTTCCTTTTCAAAAATGAATATTACATGCATGCTCTTCTCTTTTTCAAGTCTTCAAGTATGAAGTATTCAGAGGAAGAAATTAAAGCGACCCTTGAATTCGGTAGATACTTGATTGAAATAGCAATTCGGCAATACAAAGATCAACTTGCTCTGGATCCCACTAGGGGGTGCCAAACATTAAAAAAATCATTTCCTTAATTTTTAAAAAACATTCCCGGGAATTTTTCCCCAGCCAAATTCCCTAAACTTTGCCGGAACGATTTTTTGTGCCCGAGATTTTGCGGGCAAGAAAAAGTATTCCCGAGAAATCTAGGGAAAGAATACTCATTTTCTATTGGTTGTTGAGAAGGAAATATGACGTGAAAATGTAACATTTTATTTATTTTATGATAATCTAAAAGCATCAAATCGCATCTGCGTTTGCTTTATAAAGTTTTTCTAAGTTTTTAACTTACCTTTTTTCTCCTTAAATTTCTCTAAAACGTACAATCTAAAATGTCTGATCAAATAAACAGAAACACTGGTGGCGGTCCTTCCAACAACGATTCCGCAGATAAAAGCCTTGATAGAACCAAAACTACACCTGGTCAAATTAAGGCTATGATTGGTTTCTTTGAGAGTAATCAAGACCTTTTTAAGATACATCTTGGTGGACAAAAGTCTTCCGCTCCTTCAGCTGGTAGTGAGATAAAAAAATGAGAGATCATTGAGAGATTGTTTCAGCAACTTCTGGCAGATAAAGTAATTCCGTCTTCCTGGAATTTCAAATCGGTTGGAAAACGTTTTGAACGCCAACTCGCAAAGTATCGCGATGTAGAAAGAGATATGAACTCTACCGGTTTTGGCTTGACTACAGATGACATTAAACGTGGACTGACCTCCATCGAGATCAAGTGTGAACATTTGTGTGTTGGATTTTCTCGTTTGGCTTCTCTGCATGGTGTTAGACCAAACATAACTCCTTATTGTGTGGCTTTCCATGGTGCCGCTAGTTGTACCGAGTACACATACTCCAACAGAGTAAGGCCATCATTAGCTGCAATTGAGGCACAAACTTTTGCAGTTTTTGGTGGTCAACAAGAGGCGATTGAAGAGGTCAGTCGATTGTTGGTTGGAAGTGATGCAGCTGAATCTTCAACAAGATCATCTGCTTCTCTTTCCTCTGATGCTCCTTTGGCAGCTGGTGCTCCTTTGGCAGCTGGTGCTCCTTTGGCTGCTGGTGCTCCTTTGGCTGCTGGTGCTTCTCTTTCCTCTGGTGCTCCTTTGGCTGCTAGGTCTTTGTCTGTTGCACCTGTGTCTACTGAGGGTTCTTCTTCTTTCCGTTTTTCTTCTGTTGGGCCATTCACGAACCTCTCTCTTTCCCTCGTCCTGCTTTTGGTGAAGCTTTGTCTGGCCAGCCGTCATCTGTAGAAGTACCAGCTACCAATGTTGGTTCTTCTCCTCTGTTGGTTCCATCTAATACCCAGCCATCAAGTCGCACACCATTATTTGAATCATCGTCAGAGAATAATTTGTTCGATTCCTTTTCTTTTGATGATGGTGGAGATTTTGATGATGCTGGGTCGTATCATGCTGTGGACCATGACAACGATGTCAACAGTGGTAGTGCTGCTCGTGCTGCTCGTGCTGGTGGTGGTGTTGGTGCTGGTGGTGCTCGTGGTGCTCGTGCTGGTGCTGGTGGTGGTCGTGCTGGTGCTGGTGGTGGTCGTGCTGGTGCTGGTGGTGGTCGTGCTGGTGCTGGTGGTGGTCGTGCTGGTGATGGTGGTGGTGCTGGTGGTGGTGCTGGTGGTGCTCGTGTTGCTGGTGTTCGTGGCGGTGCTGGTGCGGGTGCTGGTGTTGGTGTTGGTGGTCGTGGTCGTGGTCGTGCTCGTGGTCGTGCTCGTGGTCGTGGTCGTGGAGGTGTTAGTCGCGCTGGTACCGTTCAGCCTGAAATGCCAACGGCTGATCGCATCCGTGTTGATCCCGATCACGCCATGAGAAACAAGAGGATCAAAAGAGACTTTTCTTCTGAGTATCGCGAGGCTCAGTTGAGAAGGGACGAAGTATTGAGGGAAAATAGTCAGAGGAAGTTCGATTTGGGTATGTCCCAATTGCTTGTTACTTGTCTGACAACGAACGCCTTCAATACATCGTCATTTACGGAAATTACCAGACATCTGGCTGATTTTCGTAGATCTCTGAGGGATCCTGTCGATGATGATGATGTATATGATGATACAGAGTATCTTTACAATCTTGATAATGATGAAGATGAGCACGATGACGGTAATCCTTCAACAGATGTAGATTAATATTTTTTTCTTTTTAAATAAAGTTTTTTTTTTCCTCTTACAAATATATTTACATTCATTGTTCAGAAACCTTCACAGCAAGGACGCAATCCAATCCTTTCAACACAAATGCACATTATATCAACTCAGTTGGTTTATTCATTATCATATCCGAAATGTACTGCATAATCTGCTAAAACTACTTCAGCAACGGAATTCCTCCAAGTATTCAATATACGGCTGGAAACACTGTTGACGTTGTCAAATGACTCCAGCAACACCACGTCTAATCTCGACTGCCCGACGTCAACATCCTCATAAAAATCACCGTCAAAATTGTCATTTTCCAAGATCAAATAGTTGTGCAAAAGACCGCATACATGTACCAATTCATGTATTCTCATGATATCCTCCTCACAATTGATTCTGAATCGGAATGTTCTTCAAGATTCTCCATTTTCCCTTTAATACACCAATGGTATTTTTAACAGCAACTCGGGCGGAAGAGTGAACCCTGTTGAAGTCTTCGCACTTCACCGAACTTACAACCTGGGGTCTTCTGTAAGGAGTAAGCACAAATAGATGAAGAGCATATCCAGAATCACCGAGAAGGTACTCATGGCTTGCAGCATCGCCACATGTGAAATACTTTGCTTCTCTATTAATCATGAAGCTAGCATGCTCTACACATGTGGCATCACACATCGATCCTGCTTGTCCTGATTGGAAACCCAAAATGATCTTTCGTTCATCACAAACAACCTGACAGTTCACAGAATAGAACCCCTTTCTTTTGTAATAGGATTCGGGGCAGTCGGTAGGCTTTTGAGAAAGGCGAAAATGGGTGCCATCGATGTATCCGATACAATTACGAAAAAAGTGCTGCTTTTTGATGGCCTCAGCTGCTCTTTCTCTTTGTTCCTTGTTAGGCCAGCCCATCAAGTGTTTAAGGTTGTCGGTGATTGCCTTAAAACAGCGGTTGGTGTAGTCAGTGACAGAGCCTTTGCTGATTCCAAACAAAGTTGCAATCTGCTCAATGCTGTTACCAGTTCCATCGTGACTTAATCGTCTCAAGGTAACTGCAAGTTGAACGTGAACATCCCTTTGAGGAATGAAACTCAGGTTGTTGAAGACTGCGTGACCTTCAATCAAGCGAAGGAGCTTTAAGAACGAGTCCTTATTTATTCTACAAATCTTAACAAACTCTTCGTCATTCCACTCGAGGAAATACTCGCGATACTGGTCCAGTTTAGGAATGCCAGGTCCACTGTTGAGAACACGTTTCGTTTCTAATCCACTCAAGAGTTCGTGCATCTCTTCCGCTTCTTCTTCATTTTCAATGATAACATTTTGCTTAAGCAAAGACTTCATCTCGTTCAAAGTTTGTTGTCTAATAGATTGTTTGGGCATTTTAAAAGTTGAAAATAAAAGATAATATTTATGAAAAATGGTTTAAAGTGAAAAGGGGAAGCTAGAGCTGTATTTGGCTTATGACGAGTTTTCGCAGCCTAAAAAGATTCCCGGAACTTTGAAATAAAATTCCCGCGATTTTTGAAAAAATTTAATGTTTGGCACCCCCTACTGACACTGACTATGATTTCAAAGGCTACCCTACTCCCCATGGTATTTCTAGGTTTTACAAATCTACCAAAAGCACTGTTCCAATTCTTCCCCATGCTGAATATTATGTGAAAAGTCGTGAAGGTATTTCTTATACCACACCTATTGATCTTTCTAGTCGTGACGCTGCTGGTAAGCCGTACAAGCCTGATCTGATTATCAACCATGTTTCTGAACACCTGCGACTTCTCATTGCCAATCCAATCATGTCCCCCTATTTATCTGATCTTCCTGATTATACGAGTAACCAACGTATAAAGCTTAGTCAAGGTAAAAAGTGGATTGAGGATAAATTGTTTCAGCCTCCCATGATAATTGTTGGTAATGACAACAACCCTCGGCAATTGTGGGTGTCGGATAGAATCTCTCGTCTGTCTGATATCAATGTTCCTGCTCAACAGCGTCCCTACTTCAAGGTATTCAAGTTCTTCCAAGAATCCGACATTGTCAAGGGGTTCCTTTTCCCGGTAATAACCAAGATGAATGATTCCATGTACTATCTCTCCGAAAAGGTTGTCTCATGTGATGTATCACAGCTCTATCTTGATGATGTTTGCCGTTTAGAAGTGGAAGATTACCATGCCTATACCAGTGTCATGCAAAATTTGACTCCTGAACGTTTAATCATCTGTAACCCGAGCTATACTATTGATGACACTAATATTATTCGTGATCACTATAACATGATTATAACTGCCAACGACCACAAGCACCCATTGCCTGTTAACTCCAACTTTGTCAACAACGTCCTTTACCCGTCTATTCCCAAGAACGTTCAGGTTGTTAGAGTTGTTCCTTATAACTTGTTTTCTGATGACACTAGTCGTAATTCTATATCAAAATGGAATTGCTTCGATACTTGGTTAATGAATCCTGCTGCTTTGCCCCTAAGTATTGCCAATTATTACTTGAACCAATTGCTTTTATGTGGGTGTAACAAACTCAGTGCCATGGAGTAGTTGCCTTCCCTTGTTGGTAATCTAAAACAGCTGGAAACTGGTATGCCGATGTTTTATGCTGTCCTTAAAGATGACGTATTTGTTGTCGCTCCTCTTTTGTTCATCAAGGCTGACAATCCTCGTCATGCCGAGATAACTTGCTTAAAACATTCAACGGCTACATTTCCACGTAGAAAGTGCTTCTGGTGCCGCCATGCCAATAATTACAATCAAAATATAAGGACCACTCCTGAAGAATATGTGTCAGCTCCAAGGGAAAAAGGGCATTGGAAAAGTTTATTTATTACAAGCAACTTACCTATTCCTGATTTTTCGATCCGGGTTCGTGATAGACAGGGTCACTTTATTTTTGTTGATGATCTGATGACTCTTGGTTTCAAAGATTCTAATGGTAAGGGCTTGCTGGGTCTGTTCTCTTGGGATCGAAGTAAAGATACGCCAGTTGAAATATTGCATGGATTATGTCTGGGCTTGATCAAGTACACCTTCAACAAGGCTGCCGATTGTTGTTTTAACAAAACCCAAGTCGATGTTATCAGTTCTCTATGTTGTATTTACGGTTCAAAGGCTTTCACTAACTTGTCCACGCATCGGAAGGGTTACAAAAGCTACCTTGGAAGAGATTTCAAGCTTATGGTCCAGATGATTCCAATTGTACTGAGACTTGCTAAGGATGACCGGGCATTCTTGACTTTTCGTAACGATCCCCACCACAGGATGAATAACATCATCGATACTTTCGATAAGCTTGGTGAGCTTTGTTCTCTATCGTATATGTCGGAAATTTATACCAACTGTCATGATCCTGTTACATTTTATGCCCCAAATATGCAATATGAGTAACCAGCTTTTAGACTCAATATTCATCATTGATCTGTCAGCTCTTTAAATCCTTTGTCATGATCCACATAAGCTATGACTAACTTTTGTTATTGCTTATTCTTTTATTTAATTTCTTGTTTTCCTTTCTCTATAAATATAGCTGATACATTTCACTTCTCCCAGTTTTCTTTATCAGATATATTTCATAATCATCTTCTCTTTTCTTTCCCCCCTTTTATTCTTAACTAAATAACCTGCTTCAAGAAGCCATTCATTCTCTGTCCTGTCCTGCCTGTCTTGTTCCTCCCTCGTTCCTGACACCAACTTTGACGAATTTGTTGAGATGCTTCGAAAGGCTGCCAATGATTCAATCGTTGCTTTGGATAACCTTGATCATACGGCAATTCCAAGTAACAGGCGTTCTCGTCGCGGTCGTAGAGCCAGTCAAGCTTCTACAACTGAAAATTTAGATGAGCCATCGGTGATGTTTCGTGATGTTGTGCCTCCTGAAGAAGGTGAAGATTCTGACGATGAAGACGTAACTTCTGCTGCTGCTACTGGTGCACATGCTACTGGTGCGCATGCTGGTGCGCGTGCTGGTGTACGTTCTCGTGCTGGTGTACGTTCTCGTGCTGGTGCTAGTTCTGGTGAACAGCTTAATGGTGCTTCCATTCCATACGCCAAGACAGGTGGCCCTCTGTGCAATCGTTTGAAAACACACTTGATCATTCACTTGGTGGAGGATTGTATTCGTTTTGCTTCTCCTGTGCTTTTGGCTACTGAAAAGAATGAATAGTTTAACAAGTACATTCGGGCAATAATCATGAAAACGTACAAGCAAAACCCCTCTCGTGAATTGGCCCTGATCAATGGTCGTGCGCTGTCTTTGACGAATGTCGCGATGGGTTGTTACTTGGACAATGATGCGAAGCCTTGTGGTTCCAAGGTGAGGGAATGGTTTAGTCGTTTTGGTCAAAAAATGTACTTTAACGCAAACCGTGAGTATGGTAGTGCTGCATACATCGCCGGTAAGAGAGTCGCTTTTGACATGGTCGCTGTCTTTGATCTCGATCTTGGCGAAGGTGGGAAGCGTCGTTTACTTGGAAAGGTTGTGCTGAAACGCCGTGATCTCGTCGAACTGGAGGTTTATACGCTTGTTGAAAAACCAGTGCAAGTGCTTTCTAACAACGCAAGCATCTTCAGAAACTACCAGGTGGACGATGGTGGCAATCTTGTCGTGGTCAAATCGGACGAAACTCTAAGTACGCTGGTGTTCAAGCTGGTTGCTGTTGATCTATTGGACATGTCGCATTCAACTGTGATAAATGATGTTCAATACTCAATAATTAACAGGTGTAAGTTTGGTACTCTTTGGTGGTTCCATAATACGGACAGAAATTTCGAAATGTTGAAAAACGATTCCCAAGATTAACCTTAAGAATAATTTCGAGATTTTTACATGTCATTTTTTTAAAAAATGAAGTTCACTTCATTTTGTTTACCAATAAAAACGGTCAAATCCATGACCTTCTATCCTCACCCCTCAAGGGCACCCATTTAAACGTTTTGTGCATCCTCAATATTTTTTTAGCGTCTTTTTTTTGATGCATCTGGTGTTTAATAACGTATTTTGGTTTTTCATCCAATCAGCAGCTTCTATTTTTTTAAAAAATTAAAGTTTGCTCACGGATTTACGTTTTGGGACCGAATTTCAGTAAAATTTAAGATTTTCAACTTGTTGTGTATGCTATAAATAAGACTTATTCTTCAACTTGGGCATTTTTTTGCTAAATCCTATGGTTATCTGGTCAGTTCTAGATATGGGTCCATATCATTTCGTAGATGGCTAATTGATATGATTCTAAAACTGTTAAAATGTGGTCTAGTACTGTTGCTGTCGGACGTTTTGTTTGTTGACACCATTAACTTTTAAGTTCATGCATCAGATCTGCTTTGTGGGATATACTTTTTTTAACTACTCAAATTGTCAGAAAAGACAATTCTTAATCGATTAAAACTATTTCCATATTTTTATAAATTGTTTTCGACTTTTACGAAATATTTTCTAGTCTTTGTCTTGTATATCCTTTTTTTTTATTGGTTTCTGCTTGAGACGAAATCAAGTTATTTTGTTGTACTACTTTGCATAGCGGCGCAGGCAACGGTATTTTAGGTATCCGTACAGTGTAGGTTGTTTAAAAATATGTCAAAAAAAAATATTTGCTGATATAGTTATTTTCTTGGTTTTTAGTGAGGAATTATCCTGTATACCGCATCTATTCATCTTCGGATTGCTGGATCTATTCAAAATGTATTTCAATTCTTTCCCTGTCCAGAAATTTACGATTGACGGCTTGTTGTTGTTTATCGTTTTACCACTACTTTGTCAGTTCCTGATTACCCTTTCGAATATTTCGAATAAATACTTGGTATACACAGTTTCAATTATGTATCGTAATTCTTAGTAACCAAAAATTTAATGAAATAGAAGGCCGATTAGTTTGTATTTGTTGTCTATCAATGTAACAAATATTTCAACGCAAAACGATCAATCTATCGTAGGAATTTCATTTGAAAAAACAAACTCTCAGTTCAATGTTGTTCTATGTCTCCATTTACTTTATGCAATGAAAAATTTCGGCTTCAGTATGGCCGTTTTTGGACTTGTAGCATTGTATATATTGTTGTGTTTTAAGGTAAAGTAAAATTATAAAATGACTATAGGAGTAGTTTCAGACTGTTCATAAAATGTCTCTTATTAATAAATGAAATGTACCAGTATCTATATAAAAGACTGTCTGCTGTGTTGATATCTCTAGTGCCATCTTGAAGTTAACGTGCCACCAAGCTTAAACCTGATAAATTTTTTGCACTTTTTTAAATCCATTTTTATACCCCAAAAAAACATTTTTCTACAAATCGCTGACAGAAGAACGATTGTAACAATGTTTTTAAACAATAATACGAAAACAGTTTACATTTTTAGTTATCAAAAAATTTTAGTGATAGCCATCAAACATTATCGGTGTTGAAATATTTAAGCGGGGGAGTATAGGGGAGGCCCATCATTTGAAACAAACAAAAAGAGCATAAGGTAAATTTTAACACCCGACAATCATTTCAGCCAATAAAACAGCAGGAAATGGCTAAAACTGTAACTTTTTTTTAAAAAGCTATGAACTTCATCAGTTTTAATTTTGATAACTTCGCAATAGCTTTAAGTTTTAGATGCAATGTTGGCAACCATTTCTTCTGTGAAGAATTTTTAATTTATTTATAAAAAAGTCTATTTACCATCAGAATTGTTAGGGCGCTCATAAATTTCTGTGGGATGCTAAATAGAGTTCCGACAGTTGGAGGGCGTACCCAATGTCGATCCTATTGAAGCTATCAACTTTATCAATACAACTTTTTTTTCTGTTTTTATTTCAAATTACAATAACAAAAGTATTAAAGAGTAGTTCTTCTGTCATCGATTCTGAATTTATTTATAAAAATGTCTGTTTATTATCAGTCATTAGTGCGCTTATAAATTTCTGTGGGGGGAGGGGCAATGAAGTTCCGACATTTGGAGGCTTACCCAATGTCGATCCTATTGAAGCTATCAACTTTATCAATACAACTTTTTTTTCTATTTTTATTTCAAATTACAATAATAAAAGTATTAAAGAGTACTTCTTCTGTCATCGATTTTGAATTTATTTATAAAAATGTCTGTTTATTATCAGTCATTAGTGCGCTTATAAATTTCTGTGGGGGGAGGGGCAATGAAGTTCCGACAGTTGGAGGCTTACCCAATGTCGATCCTATTGAAGCTATCAACTCTATCAATACAACTTTTTTTTCTGTTTTTATTTCGGATTACAATAATAAAAGTATTAAAGAGTAGTTCTTCTGTCATCGATTTTAAATTTATTTTATAAAAATGTCTGTTTATTATCAAAGTTGTTAGGGCGCTTATAAATTTTTGTAGGAGGGAAAACAGTCCCGAGATTTGGAGGGCAAATCCAATGTCATTTCTATCAAAGCTATCAACTTTATCAATATAGCTTTTATTTCTGTTTTTATTTAGATTACAATTATAAAATCATGAAGGATTAATTGTTCTGTCATCGAATTTTAATTCATCAATAAATTAAATTTTTTATAGCAATTTTTTAAAACCAGGCGTTGAGTATATGTATATCGAGGAAGGTCAAAGAAAGGCATGGAATAAAAGTTTCTTATAGTTGATCTCCGCGATCAAAAATTTATCGTGTTACCCAATCATACATGTTCATTAACAATCAGTACTTTGACATTTCTAAGAAAGCGTCACAAAAGTTCTTTTCACTTATCTCTGTATACTTTATTATATTATGCCCCCACTCAACGCGAGAAAACGCGCTTACGCTAATAAAAATAAAAACGAAGAAGGTGTATTTATGACCAGATCTGTTGATGTTAATGATTGGGAAGAAATGTCTATTGATAACACAACAAACGTCGATGAATTGCATTCTTTAGCTGAAAGCCATAATGATACTTCGATTGTTAAGAATTCTATAAATAAAATTCTTGTCGATATCACCGGACAATCCAGTCGTCCTAAAACTTACACTGGTACTTCAAGAACTACATTATGGAGAAATAAAAAAGAATCGAGTATGATTGATGATCGTTCTAAGTTAACCCATTTCGGTTTTGTACCTGTCGCCGTTGCTGCTACACAGCATGAGGTTGTTTTGAGCCGTAGTCAAAAGGAATTGATCCAAATCAACGAAGTATTTTTACAACTGCAGGATTTACTTAAGCCTATCATGAATAAGTCAAACAAAAATAGTAAGGTTTTGGCGTACAATTTTGTTCGCTATTCTTCAATCAACTGTTATTTTATCAGAAGACTCGAAGGAATGAACAAGGGCCAAGCTTCACGCAGTGCGGCAAAACAGTTTTGGCATGATAATAACGTCGCTTATCGGGCTATGACAATTATCAAGTGGTCTAATGAATTTTTGCAGGAACGCAAACTTTCTGACCATTGTCAAGGCGTTCATAGCAAGAGAAAGTCTTTTCTTAATGATTCAGACGTTAAGATGATGATCCTTGAAGAGATGAGAAAGACCAAGCCAGCTGAGCGATCCTTGGTTGTAATTAAGAAATTTATTGATGATGTTGTTGTTCCTTCTTTTTTGGGTGTTGCTAACAGATCTGTTGCTGAAACAACAATTAGCAAGTACCTGTACGAATGGGGATACGCCTATAGAAAGAACAAGAAAATGATATATTTTGATGGTCATGAACGTGAGGATGTGGTTGCATACAGAGATCTCTGGTCAAGAAGAATGATGGAGTACATGGAGAAAATGGACTTTTATACTGGGGAAAATGAAGAGAATATCTTGGAGCCAGCGTTAGAAGACGGTGACAAAAAGCTTGTTTTCGTAACACAGGATGAAAGCACGTTTTACGCCAATGATGGTAAAAACGATCTTTGGCTGGAGGATGGTGAGAACCATATTCGCAAGAAGGGACCTGGATCTTCAATTATGATCAGTGAGTTCCAGTGTCCCTGTCATGGTACCATGAAAATTGCAAATTGGTCGTCAAGAACGAAGTTTAAGGTAGGTGATAGCAGAGAAGGTTGGTGGACCTACAAGCACATGGTGGAACAATTGGAGGAGAATGTCATCGGTCTCTTTGATGCATTGCATCCAGGTTGTAAAGCAATATTTCTTTTTGACAATAGCTCCAACCACGGAGCTTATTCCGATGAAGCTCTTGTGGTCAACAGAATGGCTTTGAAGGATCGAGTGTGGCCAATTACGAGCAAGTTTCAGTTTCATGATACTGTTGTTAATTTAACAAGTGGAGAGGTTTTGGAGCAGTCCTTCTTTTATGACAAGGTTGATACCAGTAGAGATAAGAAAGGCCGTACTAAGTCCAAAACTGTACGGTACTTCAAGGGAATCAAAACTATCTTGGAGGAGAGAAATCAGTGGATTGGTCATGACATCAATGGCAAAGCGTGGAAGTTGGATTGCGGTTCACCCGAGATATCTCCTGATAAGATCTGTTGCGCTCGTCACTTCTTGGGTTCTCGCCCAGATTTTTGTAATCAAAAATCGGCACTCCAAGAAGTAGTAGAAGATGCTGGCCACATCTTCGAACTATATCCAAAGTACCACTGTGAGTGTAATTGGATCGAAATGTACTGGGGTGGAGCAAAGCGGGAGGCTCGCCTCAAATGCGATTACACTTTCAAGTCTTTGGATAGCAACATGGATGCATTTTTGGATAAGGCAGGAAGCATTGCCAGAATTAGAAGATACTTTCGGCGTGCAACTGAATACATTGAAGCCTACAGCAAGTGTAGTGACGGTCGGGAAGTGGTGCAGACCGTGAAAAAATTTGCGGAGAAAAAGTACCTTTCCCACAGAAAGGTTAGAATCC